TGGAGTAGGAAATGGCAACCCACTCCAGTATTCTTGCCTGGAGAATCCCATGGGCAGAGCAGCCTAGAAGGCTGCAGTCCACAGGGTCACACAGAGTCAGATACAACTGAGTGACTGAGCAGGCATGCACATGGTGGGAGATATGAACTGATATATTCAAGAGGAACATATAGAGCAAGCAGTCAGAGATAGAGACCTAAGAGTCTGGAGAGAGAACAACCCTGGGCGGGGGTGGAGAAGAACTGCGGACACAGCCGAAGAACCAGTGAGCGTGGACAAGCTCTCCCCGGGGGGAAAGTGAAGCCAAAGAAGAGAGTGAGGAATGGAGGTGTGGGCATGACTCTCTCTTGATTGAGCTCTTTACGATGTTTCATCTGGGTCTTCCAACTGGACAGAGAGGTTTGATGGCAGAACACCTGCCTTGGACTTCTTTTTATTCTTCCACAGTGTCTATCTAGACCAGATCTTGGTGTATTATGGGTGCTTGTTGAATGAGAAGAAAAGGAATCAGTGAAGGAGATCGGCTCCATAGACAATTATCATAACCCAGATGGTGTGGTGTCTCAGGGGAGGAGGCATTATTCAAAATGCTTCACAAAGGTGGGGCTCGGGCCCCGGCCAATCGCCAGGGCCTTACTGTTGACCCTTTCATGGCTGGCCCTGGCCATGGCGGGGGGGGGGGGGTCCCAGAATGGTGGGACACCAGGAGTGACTATTCAGAGAAGCGTTTTCAGCCTTTTGACAAGCGGTGCAGACATGTCACCATAGCAATATTATATTGACCGTGACCTGGGTCAGGCGAGTCACGTATGTTAGGAAGCTCAGAAACCAGGAACAGTGAACGAGCTGTACAGTGGCCGCACCATCAGTAACAGGATGAAGTCTCCGCAGACAGTCGGGGATGGAGGCCAGATCTCAGAGACGTGAGGAGGAGCTTGTGGTCCTCAGGCAGGTGTTCTGTCTCCCCATCTTGAAAGCAGCCTTCTTCCTCTCTTGTTCTCCAGTCAACAGCCGGCCTGAACCTGGGCTGTGTATGTGTCTAGAAGCCTCTGACTCTTCCCTGTTACTCTTCCCTGTCCCAAGTCAAGGATCTTGGATTCCCTGAGTGCAGGTGAAAGGACAGCTGGTACAGGAACCTCTCTTGACTCTGCCTCTGTGGTGCCAGAATCACCAAGTCTCATCACTTGGGGAAGCATCAAGGAGCCCCTTCTCTCTGATGTTTTTCTACCCTGTTAGATGCATCAGTTCAGCTGCTGGGTAAACAGAGCGCTGGTCCCTGTTTGATGTCCTGGGAGCTGTGTGTGTTTATTGATTGTCACAGACACAGATGATGAAACGGACCAGATGGAAAGGGATGTCAGGCGGCCGGCGATTTGTATGTGGGGTTGGCTGGCCACACACTTCATTTCACATCTGAACGACTCCCACCTGCAGCTCAGGGCAGCGAGTGGAGAAACCCCACTGGGCCTGCAGCGAGCTAGAGGCACGGCCCTGGGAGAGGCCCGGCGCCCCGCATGTTGCTCCGGTGGTCCGTGTCTCCCCGGCCGCCGCCCTGACCAAGTCCGTGCCTGAGACACCGGTCCCACTCCAGCTGCAGGCATGCAGCTTCTACGTCTCGGGCTGCCCCAGTGCTCCTGCCCAGTGACCGCATCAGGGCTCTGTGGTTTCTCCCCCAGCAAACTTCTCTCCTGACCATGCGAGGCCAGTTTTAATCCTGATTTGTGGCACAGTTTCCCACAAGTACCTCTGCTCGGTCATCTGGGAGGTTGAGTCTGTATTTCCCAGGGACGTGGGAAGCACACATAAAATTATAGAATGTTTTGCTTTAATGGTTCCAATCTGCTGGGAAAAGGCAGCTGTATTTTCTTCCACAGTGAGCTGTAGGCAGTAGGGACAGTGGTACCCATCTCCTCTGCCTCGTTTAGTGGGAAGGAGATGACACGCAGCACTGGGTGAGCCACCGGACCCCTCCTCCTTCCCTGCACTCAGGTCTCTACTCTAGGGGGGAGTTAAGAAAAGTTGGGGGGCAGAGGGATGACACGAAATCATGTCCCTGGGTCGCTACACTTAGACCTGCAGGAAGAATGGCTGGGCATGTCCAGCCCTTCACCAGGTGGCAGTTTGCAGGGATGGTCCCAGGACAGGCTGGCTGGCTGTATAGCAATTAACAATTTATTTTTTTGTTTGTTTGTTAATGGAAAAATAGCAAGAAACAAGTAGAAAACAATATATACCAACCCAGCCAATGTGGTAGATCATATCCTTAGATATTACTAATTCTACTGTAAGAATTATTTTTATATTTAAAATTTGATACTGTCCTTTTCCCTTTCAAGTAAATACTTTCACAAGTACTTTAAGAAAAAATGAAGAGAGGTATGTTTAAATAAAACATACAAACAAACAATTTATCTTTAGTGCTCCCTTTTTACTTTCCAAGTGTCCCACTTTGTATATATAGTTACCCTATCTGTTGTACAAAGTGGATTTGCAGAGAACTTAGGGCTAAATCAAGTCCAACCCTTATGACATAAACAGACAGGATTAAAATGCAGAGACATCACTTTGCCAACAAAGGTCCATATAGTCAAAGCTATGTTTTTTTCCAGTAGTCATGTATGGATGTGAAAGTTGGGCCATAAAGAAGGCTGAGCACCAAAGAAGTGATGCTTTCAAACTGTGGTGTTGGAGAAGACTCTTGAGAGTCTCCTGGACTACAAGGAGATCAAACCAGTCAATCCTAAAGGAAATCAACCCTGAATATTCATTGGAAGGACTGATGCTGAAGCTCCAACACTTCGACCATCTGATGTGAAGAGCTGACCCACTGGTAAAGACCCTGATGCTGGGAAAGATTGAGGGCAGGAGGAGAAGCGGGTGACAGAGGATGAGATGGTTGGATGGCATCACTGACTCAGTGGACATGAATTTGAGCAAATTCCAGGACAGTGAAGGACAAGGGGACCTGGTGTGCTGCAGTCCATGAGGTCACAAAGAATCAGACACGACTTAGTGACTAAACAACAACAACGTGACGGAGAAAGAGGAAGACACCTTGAATTATTTCCCTGGGCTGGCTCTTATGTGTAACCCACTCTGCCCATTCTAGGTTTCAGCCTACACAATTATATGAACTCATGGTTATATGAGATCAAGATTTTTAGAACACAAACCAACAGCAAGAGAGAATATCGGGATAATTTGTTGGATGATGAGCTATAAACCATAGAAAAATTCTTAGAAACTCTAGTTTTAATATGTTGCCTTGAAAAATTTAACACAACTCAAGATAATAGATTGCCTCTATGAATGTACACAATTTCTAACTTAAATAGAAATTCATAGTAAATTCAGTGGGGAACGAGGGTGAGAGAGGTAATAATATTTTATAATTTTTGAAAAACTGAGTATCAAAATCCCATTTTATACATATACACAATGGAATATTACTCAGCCATAAAAAGGAATGCATTTGAGTCATTTCTAATGAGGTGGATGAACCTAGAGCCTATTATGCAGAGTGAAATAAGACATAGAGATAAAAATAAATATCATAAACTAATGCACATATATGGAATCTAGAAGATGGTACCGAAGAATTTATCTGCAGGGCAGCAATGGAGAAACAGACATAGAGAACAGACCTATTGACACAGGGAGAGGGGAGGAGAGGGTGAGATGTATGGGAAGAGGAACATGGAAACATATATTATCATATGTAAAATAGACAACCAATGGGAATTTGCTGTATGTTTCAGGGAACACAAACAGGGGTTCTGTATCAACCTAGAGGGGTGGGATGGGGAGGGAGACAGGAGGGAGGTTCAAGAGGGAGGGCACATATGTATGCCTATGGCTGATTCATGTGGATGTTTGATAGAAAACACACAATTCTGTAAAGCAATTATCCTTCAATTAAAAAATAAATTGGGCTTCCCTGGTGGCTCAGCTGGTAAAGAACCCACCTGCAATGCGGGAGACCTGGGTTCTATCCCTGGGTTGGGAAGATCCTCTGGAGAAGGGAAAGTCTACCCACTCCAACATTCTGGCCTGGAGAATTCCATGGACTGAAGAGTCCATGGGATCACAAAGAGTTGGACACGACTGAGTGACTTTCACTTAAAAAATAAATAAATTTTTTAAAAAATCTCATTTTATTAAAATATACATCACTGGGCATGGATATATTCAATATACATTTGGCTTTGAAATCTTTTAATTTAGCAATTCCACCTCTGGGAACTTATATACAGAAATGTTGGAACAAGTGCTGGAGAGTGTTCACAGTGGCTAAAATCAGAAGCAACTAATTACTCATCAATAGACAATGTGTTAAAGAAATTCATACAAAACAAATGTGTTAAAGTCAATTCATACAAAAGACGACTAACTAGGTAGCTGTCAGAAAGGAGAGGACTATATTATGTCCTACATGGAATTATTCTCACATAATACTGTTCAGTTATTCCACTTTTGTAGCAAACAAACAAACATAATATATTACATGTAAAGAAAAGAAGTCTAGGGGGATTTAATATACATACCAAACAGTGATCACCTCTGAGGAGGGAGTAAGTATGGGGAAATTTTTCACTGTGTTCTTTCTGTTGTTGTTCAGTTGCTAAGTCATGTCCAGCTCTTTGCAACCCCATGGACACCAGCTGTCCTTTTATGTATTGCTTGGGGCTTCCCTGGGGGCTCAGCTGATAAACAATCCACCTGCAATGCAGGAGACCTGCGTTCGATCCCTGGGTTGGGAAGATCCCCTAGAGAAGGAAATGGCAACCCACTTCAATATTCTTGCCTGGGAAATCCCATGGACAGAAGACCCTTGCAGGCTTTAGTCCATGGTGTCCCAAAGAGTCAGACACGACTGAGCGACTAGCACTTAAATGTTTTATAATAAGGATAGTTTTTATAGTTTACACATAAATACATACACGTGTATATAAAAGTAATCTTAAAGTTTTACTTCTTTTAAAAAAAAAATTTGGCCACACCATGTGGCAGGCGGGATCCCAGTTCTCTGACCAGGGATCCAACCCGTGCCCCCTGCATTGGAAGCACAGAGTCCCAACCACTGGACCCCCAGGGAAATCCTCAATCTGAAAGTTTTAAAGTACACTTTTAAAGAAAACGAAAAAGGAAATGTGTTTGCAACTCTGCTTGAGCTGGTCTGACAGCCCTCCTGATAAGATACGCAAGCTCTCAGAAAGCGTACCATGGAAGGGTACCATGGAAGACATGTCACGGTCACGGCTTCCTGTCCTGTCCCCACTCTCCAGGTCCATCCTGCCCTTCTCTCCTGCTGAAGGGAAGCATGAATCCTCAGGCTCCCCAATACAATACAGATCCTCTTCCTTCGTTCGCTGCAAGAGCGACTCATTCCTTCCTTCCCTAAGGCTGGGGGGGGCGGGTGGCGGGTTTGGGGCAACCATAACCTGACTGTTAGTAGTTCAGCCAGTTGAAAAACGGGGTCTCAGGTTCATCCCTCTTTCAGCTGACCACGGGCCAAGGATGAATGTGTCAAAGGGAAGCCAATTCTGGGCTCTTGTTGGCAAAGGGTTCAACTTCCAGGCAAACTGAGCTGGGATTAATTTTTGCCCAAATCGGACAATGATTTTAACACGAGGGTCAAGGATGGTCTGACTCTGGCTTCCCTTCTTTGGGGGCCAAATGTAGAGAACTGAGTCAAAGAACTGAGTCAATCATTCACTCCCTCCCATCACTGACTCGCCTCCCATCATTAAAGGGGCAGTTGTGTCTGAGTCCCTCAGCTGGGCGGCCAGTCCACTGTGGCAGCTTTCTGGTTCTGGCGGAGGAAGAAGGGACCACGCCTGGGACACAGGAGACGGCATGACACAAGGCCCAAGCAGGGGTCTTTGTCACTCTCGAGTAACTGTCAGACATTCCATGGACCCTCAGGAAGCAAAATAAAGGGGGTATGTTCCAGAGAGCGTGGGGGAGGCTGAGTCAACTCTGCCCATAGCCAAAGAAGCAATTGCCTGCAAGCTATACTTGAGGGTTTGGGGGAAAACCATTGAGCCTCAAAATACTACTCCTATTATCCCATCACAGTTACTGAAATTCAGCTCTTAGAGATTCCTTCCTTTTGACTGAGACTTTACGCATGTTAAAAGGCAAGCTACTTCTCCCAGCTTCTTTCCAATCTAGAAGACAGAGGTCGGAGAACACATGTATCAGGAGGGAAGTAGAAAGAATCCACAGCTTAGAGGCTCAGAAATCAAGACAGACAGACCTATATGGGTTCCAGGCAGAGAGAGAAAGGTACCAAGGCTTCTCAGTTTGGTTAAGGTGAGGCACTGCATCCAATAGCATTAGACCAAGCAGACCTAACTGTAGAAGGCCTGTGATTATGCTTTCAGACTTTTTGTTAAAAAGTGCTTTACACACATACACATACTAGCCTTCTTACCTGTATCTTTTCAAGGCGCCTTTAGACCTTGATGGTGAAGGCTGACTAGCCAGCTGATTTCATTGTAAGCAACAGGCTGCCACATTTTAAATTCTACAAGGTCTTTGCTTTTGGAATCTGTGATTTCAGTCCCCGCTGGTGACGAGCCGTCTAGGTGATGGCTAAAAGCAACCTCACTCAACCATGGAAGTACCTTAAAATCACCTGGGACCTTTTAAAAATACTGATACCCAGGGCCTGTTCTTAGAAATTTTGATTTACTGGTCTGGGCGGGGCCCGGGCATCAGTTGTTTAAAAAACACCTCCCCTCAGCATTTAAGCATGTATTCTAATGCGTACCCTGAGTTTAAAATGCTAAGAATTGTGATGGGAGGGCAGATGGGGTAGATTATCATTACCCCGTCATTAAATTACCTACTCAACTTAAGACTTCTACAGTGGGCAAGAAGTGCTTTAAACTCTGGAGGGCACGTTAAGAATGCATTGACATAGATTCTGCAGATTCACCCTTCTGCAGAAACCAACAGGAAGGGCCTGGCCAGATGAGCGGCTGAGTGCAGAACCACCCAGCTCGCACCCCCTGTCCTTCTGCAGCATTCCTTATGTTGCAGTGAAGTTTTCCTGCCCTCCCTGACCTCAGCAGAGTGGATCGCTGGTGTCTTGAGCCCCACCCTTTCCCCCACCCCTAGGAGCGGCCTTAACATTAGGTTGGAGGGCACAAAGGCCTGGACAACTGGGGGAACTGGACTTGCCCAGCTGAATGGAATCCTCAAATGCTCGTTTCACTCTGCTTCTCTTTGGTCAGGATTTCCGATGCCAATCTTCCCAATGCTCTGCCTTACCAGGCTCCTTCTCTAGACCAGTCTCAGCCCACCTGCCTATGGGCTATGCCGGGATTTTCCTGCTTCCCCCTTCATGGTTGGGCACTGGGATGCTCTGCTTGCTACATTCATCGGAGTAGGTATCAGCTCTTCCTCCATTTGAGAGCCCACGACTCCTCCATAGGATCCCCTGGGCCCACACTGCCCTACATCGCCACTGCCCACAGGCCTGAGCCGCATTCGCCCCCCCCCCCAAGAAATGCAGTATGTCCTCAAGTCATAACAGGAAGATGGTATAGGAAAATGGTCATGTGGAGATTTATCTCCACATCTTTTGTAACACTGACAGTGAAGTTTGTTTTTTTTTTCTATGTTACTCTTTAGTCTTTACACAAACTTCCACATGACAAATTCCCAGTTGAGTTCAATTCCAGGAAAAAATTTGTCCTGAAAATGAATTTGTATGCTTTCTCTTGTCCAAAATCCCAAACTGTGCAATCCAGAGTATTTTTGTTTGTCTCTAAGCTGCCAGAGAATTCCGAGCCAAATTCATTGTCCAAGTGTTGTAATCTGCTAAATTCAGGCCATTCAAAATCTCCATTCCTTTTGCTTTGCTCTGTTTTCTCCTGAGCGTCTCTGCATTTAGTTCTCGTCTAAGTCATCTGACCCTGTCCCCAAGTCTGCCACCAGGTCCCACCTCTTTATCTCTTAGCTCTTTCCATCCACGTCACCACTGCAGTCACCCTGCGGGTTAGTAACTGCAACTTGGGTGCTGCAAGGCCTCTGTCTCCTCCTCTCTGAGCCTCCACCCAGTAAGCAGAGTGAACTTTCTAGAATACAGAGTGATCTCGTGGCTCCAGCTTCAGGGAGATCCTTCTTCCCTCTGGGAATTACAACCATGAATTCTCCCCACACTTGCCTGTTCCTCTCCCCCCCACTTTGTGACACTGCACAGGCTGTTCCCTCAGCCTGAAACAACGCTCTCTGCTTTTGCTTCGTTGGCGAAGAGGTTTTCAGGGCTCAGCCTGGCCTTACCTATTCTGTGGGCGTCCCTGCTCTGGGTTCCCGGAGCACACAGCACTCACGGCGAGGCCAGATGCCAACTGGATTTAGTTTTTTGTCTGACTAGCCAGCTAGGATGGTAAGTGCCTGGAAGGAAGGCAGATACCTTATTCCCTTAGACTACAGTTGTTAAGTGAATGAATACACGACACAGGGAAAGCGAAAAGAAGGGAAAGCATTTGTTACTCAGTCGTGTCCATGGACTCAGTGACCCCATGGACTGGAGCCCCCCAGGCTCCTCTGTCCATGGGATTTCCCAGGCAAGAATACCGGAATGGGTAGCCACTCCCTTCTCTCAGGGATCTTCCCGACCCAGGGCTTGAACCCAGCTCTCCCACGTTGCAGGTAGATTCTTTACCATCTGAGGCACCAGAGAAGCAGGGTTCAAATCTTACAGAATGAAAGGACTGAAAGAAGGCCAGCCTTTTCACTGCCTTTCCTAAGAACAGTTACTCTCTGCCCTTGACTTCTTGTAGAATTCTGCTCATTGTAGGCAGCCCACCCCAAAGAAGCGTCTCCTTCACTCCTCAGGTGTGTTTGTTCCTTGATGACTGGCAAGCAGAAAGGATATTGTTCTTTTCTCTTACGTAGAAACCACCGCAGGTGTAGGTTTAATAACAAAATTACTGTAGCGCCTGTTACAACTCTGGGGCCATTATTACTATGGGACACCTAGAACCTTAGAGACGTCATAGTCCACAGGCGTATCTCAACACCAGCTAAAAGTCCTCCGGCTCCTTCCCCCAACTTGCTGTTTTAGTCGCTCGGGCCTGTCTGACTCTGTGACCGCATGGACCGTGGCCCGCCAGGCTCCTCTGTCCATGGGATTTCCCCGGCAAGAATACTGCAATAGGTTGCCATTTCCTTCTCCAGGGGATCTTCCCCACCCAGGGATCGAACCCAAGTCTCCTGCATTGGCAGGCGGATTCCTTACCACTGAGCCATTGGGAAGCAGCTGGTTAAAAACCAAGTCGGTGCCCTTCCCCTGCCCCAATCTCTGCCCCTGGAGGGTAACGTCCAGATTCCCCGCCCGATGCCCTCCAGGACAGGATTCCTCCGCTGAGGTCCAGCTCTCTAATGTGGTTTGAATCCAGTTCCCTGTGACCCTTCTAAATATTCTTCTACTCGGTGTTAAGAGACTCCCCCTGGATTCCATCTGCTGCCAACCCCATCCAGAGGGCGAAAGCGGGAGAAATAAGATCATGCAATCATCTTCACCTTTCTGCTTTCTCAACACTGCAAAAAGTCTGACCACGGTGGGGGCGGGGGTTAGGTCCGGCTGCTCAGCTTTTCTCGGTTCTTGCTAAACACACACACACACTCACGTCCCTGGGACTCAGCTCGGCGGAGGGCGGGGGCTCTGCCCGGTTTCTGCTGGTTTCCTGGGCGCGGGACGACGGCCTCGCGAGCTCCGGGAAAGACGTCCGGACAACACTTTGCTCTAGTCCCGCAGATCGGGCTGGAGCGCCTCGGTCCCCACGTCCGCACGCGGGAAACCCCATCTTTGGTCTGCAAAGAGCCACTTCACGGCTCCGGGTCGAGGCAGCTCCGGCCGTCGTCTTTCTCCCCCTACTAAAACCCCCTGCACCGCGCGTCCCCTCCTCGATCGCCCTCTCCCCGCGCGTCCCCTCCTCGGTCCCCCCGCGTCCCCTCCAGCGTCCCCCGGCCCGGCCCTACCTCCTGGCTGGCCGCGGCTCCGCGGGCTCCGAGGCGCGGCTCGGGGGCGCTCAGGCGGGCGGGGGCGGCGCGCGGCGGGGGCCCGGGGCGCCATGGCCCGCAGTCCCCCGCGCTCGTGTCGGCCGGGCCTCTCCCCGCGCCCCGCGCTCGCGTGCCCGCCGCCTGGCCGCCTCTGTGGGCGAGTGGAGGGCGGCCCCTTCCTCTGGCGGCGGCGGCTCTGAGCCGGGCCGCCCCCCGCCCGCCGGCGCTCGGTGAGCTCACCCGCAGCTGGCGGGCGCCCGGCCCGTTGCCACGGCAACGCCTCTCCAAGGGCAGCGCGGACCCTAGAGCGGCTCCCGTAAACAGGACCTTCTGCCGGACTCTTCCCCTCGCCCTTTTTTTGGGGGTGGGGGTGGGGTGGGGAGATGGCGGCTTAACCCTTTCTTTGCTGGAGACCACCGAGTGGCCAGCTGCGTCTCCACCCGGCCGGGGGGTTTATTCGAGCTCAGCACTCAGCGCTCAGCGGGGCTCTGAGCCCTTGAGACAGATGCTGCGGAGTGGCCGCGACCCTCCCTGCCCTCAGCTCACTCCAGTCGTTGTAACGCGTTGGTGGGAGCGCCGACCGGGGTTCGGGCTCAGGACTGGGGGTGGGACGCCCGAGGCAAAGAGTCAGCCACCACCCTTGGCTCTGCAGCTCCAAGTCCGTCTGCACCGAGACGCTGACCGAGGAAGCCCAGGGCCCCTGAGCGCGGGGCACGAGCCTCCGAACCGGGCGCGCGTGGGGGGCGGGGAGGGGTGGGTGTCAGGAAAAGCTTCCTAGAGGAAAAGCGACTTTATGGCGCCTGCTGCCACCGCTCGCGGAGGACCAAAGATCAGGGGACAAAGCTTGATCTTTTGATTTTGATTTATAACTGCCAAAGAAGATGTCCACGTGA